AAATCCTTGCTTCCCTTACCGCTGCGTGATGCGAGTGAGCTTCAAAATACTCCCAACTTAATTTTTTTTTTGTTATTCGAGATGTATCTCTATGTGAGATGTGTTTTTATTTTATTTTATTGTTTCATGTGTTTTTAAAAAATGGGAGATGGCTTCAATCTGCTGGTCTCCAGCACCTCCAAAATAACACATCTTGACAAGTAATTATTCGTTCGAGAGACCCTCTTGAATATAATATCACTTTCACAATATGCATTATTACTTCTAGGAAGGACATATATAGTTGGTTTGGGTTTGGATTTATAACTATAACCAACTTAATTTCCAATATTTTATAAATTATTTATTTGATTTATTCAAAAAAAATTTAGACCCGAGTGAGTTGGAATAATTTTTTTATATGAATATTATAAATATTCATGAGTTAGACATATAAAACTATTTATTTTTTTATTATTCTATAACAAAAATACCTACAAAGACAAATAACTAGATAGATTACTTTAGTTATATTTGAATTGTTTGTAAAATTAATCCAATGATAAAAAAAGATAAATATATAAAAATATGAAATTAATACCTAAAATCACAACAAAGTTCTTTATTTTTTTATTAATATTTTTAGTTAGTTAATGAGAAAAACATTATTTATATCAAAAACTTTCTAGCATTGCTTAATTACACTTAAATAAGCTATGAGAGTTGGATCAAGTTGAGCTGGTTTTAAATATCTTAACCTACACCAAATCTATAATAGTAATTTATTGAAAATTTTAACTTACCATCATTTATAATATTTATACTAACTAACTTTAACAATATTGAGTCGAGTTGTATAATATAAATAAATACTCTTCGGAACAACCTACATTAAATAATGCATTATGTTTAATTAGAGTACACACGTCAATCAAATTGAAAAATCACAACAATGACTATATATCAATAAATAGCATTTATTTAAGAAAAAATATTAGTTAATCAAGTAGATTGAAATGCTTTAATCATGATAAATGAGAAAGATGAAGAAAAAGAAATAAAAATAAATTTATTTTTAAAATAGTTTTGGAAAGAATTTTTTTCATATTAAAATAAAAATGATATAGAAACATATTTTTTTTATCTCTTAATTATCTTCATCTCTTTAATCTCAAGATAATAAATAGGCAGAACTTCAATATGTAGCTTTTTTTTTTTATCTTGTTTTCAATTATTAACATGGTTAAAGGTGCTACTTACTAAGATCAACTAAATTGATCAACAAAGAGAATTTTAACAAAAGATTTTCCTTGAATCTTTTTCTTTTGTTTGAAAGATTTAATAAATTAAACTAGGGGATCCCATTTAAAATATTACTCAATGAATAAGATTTCTGAAGAATTAGCTTGAGGATCGAAGCTGGAACTTTAGCACCTGCAGGCCATTCCCTAGCCGCCAAGCTTGCAGAAAATTCAGACTGGTCCCACATGATCGATAGGCTGGGGTCCAGAAGGGGTCATGTGGGGCCATCTTTGCCACGTGAAGAAAAGCCTCCACGTGGCAAAATGGGATCACTTGTAGCCTTCTTGATTCTTTTTTGCAAGTGTTGACAAATGATTCTCCTGTCCCATGCATGCTTTTCCTTCACACCAATCATTCTTTTGGTTCTTTTCCTCCTTTCTGGGCTTCAATTATTTATGCTTTACTCTTCTTCCTTATCCTTTTCATTTACTTGTTTCTTCTTCGAAAATAAGTTTTTTATCCCTTTAATTTTGTTTTTTATAAAGAAAAAAGAGAATTAAAATAAAAATTAATAAAAGAAGGATTTAGTTTTCCCCCTTAATTTAGCATTAGAAAAGACAAATTAAGGAAAGACGACACAAGAGTCACTAAATCATCTAATAAATTAAAAAAAAATTAAATCAACACAATCAATCAGCCTATAGAAATATATGTTCAGTCAAGCTCTTAAAAAGGAGTCAATATCGGGTAGCTCTTCCATCAAAGCTGAGTAAAGAAAGAGGGGGGGGAAAGGCAGAGAGAG